AACACATCTTTGTGTTACACTTCTTTCTTTTTTGATATATGTTCTAATCTCATTGTTGGTAGATATGTCCTCTCTGTCCTCCCCACGTTGTAGTAGGTGGTGGGAGTAGTGTCTGGCTATAAAGCATAGTGAAAAATATAATGTATCTAGTTTACGCTGACAAGTTTTGAACAGCATACGAATAAATGGTATTCATATGAATAACACCGATTATGGTTTCGTTAGTTGTTCATTCACTTCCTTTTCAGTCAACAATTATGACATGTCAGTGAGAAGGTTCATTTTGTTACGGTATCTGGTAATATTGTAGGGAGCATTGTTTTGTGGATTCATGCCTTCACGGAAGCTAAAAAATAAAGTAAAATAAATTCTAGTTTTTTTAAAAGCATTCACCCCAAGCAAGGCAGGAGTGCCACTAGCATGCAAGGGATTACAGAGAGTGAGAGTAAAGAGGAGAGGTTGGGAAAAGGATAAAGAAAAGAACGGGGTCATGGTCAAGGCATCAGAAGTTGTCGATTGACATTACATTTGAATATTTGAAGATTATAGCTATCAGGGAAGCAAGTGAGAGGAAGGGAGTCCCACAGGCGGTAAGTGCGAGATAAGAAACTGCTAGAGTAGAAGATACGGCTACATTTAATCGTTTCGAAAGTGAAAAGGTGAGACCGAAATGCCAATCTAGTAGCACGCTTACATTTATGCAGTTTGTGAATCAGCGACATTAACTTGTCGGAGCAGTTGTCGTGAAAATACTTGTAGAAAAGACAGAGGGAAGGAACGGCACTTTTGTGAGAAAGTGACTGCAGACGAGATGACAGATCAGGACTCATTACAATGAGTAAAACGCAAGATTTAATGTTCTAAATTATCCGTTAATGTTGAAAGCTCGTTAAATTCAAATTGAATCTGAGAGGCAATTTTATTGTAGCATTTAATTTTGTTAAATGTGAAAAAAAAACTTTAATTCAAAATAAAGTTATTAAATTCACTTGTGAAAGGGCTTGAATCCATCTCTACTCCCCGCTGTTATGGGTTAACCTGGACACGCTAGCCTTTGGTTCAAATTAGACTAAGAGGGCAAATCTGAATTCATAAATATGGAGAAATCAAATGAAAACCAGCATCCTTCTACAAATGTAGCTATTCAAAAATAATAAAGGAAAGACACTCGAGGTAAGACATTATCGCTGGCATCCTGAAGATGACATGGCATCTAAAAAAGTAAATATTTTAGGAGACGTGAAAGGGCAAGCACTACTTTATTTGCCAAGAAGTCATGGAAATTCAAAGGGAACTAGTTTAGGAGAAGGAAACGAGGAAACCACTCTACTATCTTTCCCAAGTAGTCATGTCATTTCACAGATAATTAAGAAAAGGAAGCTGTAGAGAGCCATGATTGTTTTCGTTCTGAAGGGACATGACATCTAAAAAAAAGGAAACTAGTTTAGAAAAAGGAAATGGCGAAACCATTCTACTATCTTCCCCAAGAAGTCATGGCAATTCATAGATAGGAAAGGAAGCTGTGGAGAGCCATGATTGTTTCCGTCCTGAAAGGACATGGCATCTAAAAAAGGGAACTAGTTTAGGAGAAGGAAACGGCGAAACGATTCTACTATCTTCCCCAAGAAGTCATGGCAATTCACAGATAATTAAGGAAAGGAAGCTGTAGAGAGCCATGATTGTTTTCCGTCCTGAAGGGACATGGCATCTAAAAAGGGAACTAGTTTAGGAGAAGGAAACGGCGAAACCACTCTACTCTCTTTCCCAAGAAGTCATGGTAATTCACAAATAATTAAGGAAAGGAAGCTGTGGAGAGCCTTGATGGCAGGCGTCTTGAAAGGACATGGCATCTGACAAAAAGTACTAGCTTAAGAGCAGGGAACGGGAAACCACTCTACTACCTTTCCAAGAAATCATGGCAATTTACAGACAATAAAGAAAAGGAATTTCTGGAGTTATATGATCGTAGTTGTTCAGAAGTCATGAAAAATATTATGAAGAATAAGTAATATTTATTCAAACATTTGATATTATAGTTTAGTGGCTTTTAAAGTTTTTTAATGCCTTTGGGGAAGGTATGAATCCATCTCTTCTACCCATGCGTCCAGCAATGGGTTAAATAGCAGAATAGACTGACCTATATCGCTTTGCTTGTCAGCCAGTTTCAGAGAAGGAAAACTCTGAATTTAATAAACGCGGAGAAAGTAACGAGAAATGACTACACTATTTTTCCTCAGAAGTCACAAATATGATTCAGACAATTCACAAATATTAAACAGAGAAAAGCTGAGAAGATTCATGGCTATCTATTACTTGAAGGGATGTGGCAAAAGAAAAATGGTTTTCAGTGCTTTATTAAAATTTATACGTACATATATGAATAAAAATGACAATAGTAAAACTAGTAATTGCTGATGCGTTTCGTCCAATGTGGACGTTATCAAAGCAAAATACGAAAATGAAATTAATTAAACAAGGTAACTAATAAAAACAAAAAACAGAATGTTTCTAGCAACTGGAATGTAGAGAAACACTATTTTCATATTTTTAGTTGAAAATAACGTCAGTATTTGTCACCTGTGGAGAATATTGTCATTATATCTGTGTTGATGTATTCAACCATTTTCTTTAGATTTTATGAATCTGTTGTGTATATTTGTTTGTAAGAGCAGTAATTTTGTTAAGAAAGGTGAAATGGGGAAAAAACCTGGGCGTAGATTAATATTTGGGTAATTTTCTATGGCGGCACTTTCTAGAATTTTCCTTCTGAGTGAGTTATTTACTTTTTTTATGAGTATAGCATTTTTAAAATCAAAATTATGGTTGAATTTATTTCTATGTATGACTAGTGCATTAGCTAAGTTGTTTTTTTTGTGAGGTCTCTTTTGTGTTCGTACATATATATATATATATATATATATATAATATGTGTGTGTGTGTGTGTGTGTGTGTGTGTATTTAGGCATTTTTAAAAATGTAATCATGCACATTTCATTGAATACGACAGACAAAATTGGTTTTATTTATTTTTTATACAATTTCTCATGCGATCAAATATTTTTTTTTTCGGATGATAAATTATATAAAACTGTCAAATGTTCTTTTTCCGAGTGCTTTCATATATATTTAGCCATTTTCAGTGTTTTCACTATATGAAAACACTATAAATAGTACATACATTTCACAAACTATTTCTTATTTAACAGTTAAAATATTTAATCCTTGAAAATGGCTAAATATAGAGCCAGAAAGCACTCGGAAGAAAAAAACAAAACATTCATTTGGTTTTATATAATTTATCACCTGAAAAAAAAAAAATTAGATCGCATGATTTATTGTATAAAAAACTAAATAAAAGAATTTGTCTGTATTCAATGAAATGTCTATCTATCTATCTATCTATCTATATATATATATATATATATATATATATATATATATATATATATATTATTCCAGGATTATTTTCCAACTTCTTTAAAGATGATCTTCGCCTTCTCTAACTTTCTAACTTCTTGCCCTGGTGTAACAAGGTGCCTCACAGGTTTCACGTACGATTTCATTTTCAAGTCTTTTTTTCACTGCTCTTTGGGCTGTCATATCATTTGATTGATTTTATATTCAGTAACTCAACTCTAGTTTCGTAGGCAAACTCATTTTGTAATTGTTCAGACGACTCTGCTGTTTTTCACAATATTCGTTATTTTATATTAAAATAAAATATTCGAACGAAATATATATATATATATATATATATATATATATATATATATATATACACAAATAAAAAAAGTGAAGAACAGCTCAAGTAAAGTTCCACAATTCAAGTATTTACCTTTTAAAAAGTGCTCAATACAATGTAGAGCAATACATATATATATAATTATATATATATATATATATATATATATATATATATAAACTTTTTGCTGTTTTCACAATATTCGTTATTTTATATTAAAAATAAAATATTCGTTATTATATATATATATATATATATATATATATATATATAAACACAAATAAGTGATAGAACAGCTCGAAATATTCGAGTTCCACAATTCAAAGTATTTACCTTTTAAAAAGTTTATATAATATTTTTGTAGAGCAATACATATATATATAATTATATATATATATATATATATATATATATATATATAGTAAGTGTAATCGAAAGAATTAATTATAATAGCAATTTTTCTAAATAATTTTTTTTGTTACACATGTTATTTTTATTTATATTCAAATAATTAAACAGCATAGTCTCATTTATAAAATAAAAAATTGTTCAGAATCGTAAAGCAAAATTATCAACTTTTCTGAAAACACTTTACTATATATATATATATATATATATATATATGTATTATTATTATTGAGTTTCGTCCAGGGAGGTAGACAGATAAATCCCGTTTATGCAATCTACGGGGATTTTCTGGCCGATTTTACGGGCGCACAGGAACCCCACATTAAATTCGGCCTTGTGCCACATGTGACTGCCGACTGCGTGGGGCAAAGTACTAAATAGCGTCGATGTCGGAAAAAACAATAGTCGACAGTTAGTCGAATACGAAAGTAGTCAATTCACCACAATATTACTCTGCGTAATACCTATTATATGAAGTTCCTAACGTTTTGAACGTCGAACAATTTAGGACAGATTTAGCACAAATACAAGCCTCCACTGCGAAATAACTCCACAACAAAAGCTTAATCTAACAATTAGACAATCTTACTGTTACACAATTTGAACAATTTTACTGTTACATTCAGAATCTGAGCCTAGTTCAACCGCATATATTTTATAAAAATTTGCCTCGGCCCACATACAGTCTGAGCCCAATATCAGTCTTGTGACGAAGTCCGTTAAATCAGGAATCGGTTATACGGAGGTCCGTTAAATCAGGAATCGGTTATACGGAGGTCCGTTAAATCAAGGGTATAGTGTATAAATAACTGTCGTGTTAATGACTATAAATTGGGAGAGATTATTGAGACTATAAATTAGTACTGATTGAAATTATGTCCGTCTCAAATGAGTGGGGTTGGAGAGAGAGAAAGAGAAAAAGGGGATGAAAGAGAGAGAAAGTTGCATAAAGAGAGAAAAAGAAAGAAAGAGGGAGATAGAGAGAGGGAAAGAATAAGAGAAAGATAAAGAAAGAGGGAGAAAGCGAAGATAGAGAGGCAAAGAATGAGAGAAAGGGAGAAAGGAAAGGAGGGAAAAGTAAAAGAGAGAGAGAGAGAGAAAGAAGGAAGGTGAAATATGGAGAAATAGAAGATAGAGAGACAGAATGAAAGAATGAAAGAAAGAAATAGAGAACTAAAGAGATAGATAAAGAAATAGAGAGAGAAAGACGGGGGAATAAAGGGAGCGGAAGAATGAGAGATATGTAAAAAAATATAACGAGAAAAATATAAAGAGAGAGAAAAGGGACATAAAGGGGAGGGGAAGAGAGAGAGAGAACGAACGAAAAAGATAGAGAGGAATAGAAAGAGAAAGAAAGAGAGAAATATACATAAATAGATTGAGATATATCTATCTATCTATCTATCTATATATATATATATATATATATATATTTTATTGAATGAAAAATAAATATATATATATATATATATATATATATATATATATATATATATATATATATATATAGAGAGAGAGAGAGAGAGAGAGAGAGAAAAAAAAGAAAAAAGAAAGAACGGGAAAGAAAGATAAATAGAAAGTGAGAGAATGAGAGAAACAGACAGAAAGAGAGAAAAGGAAGAGAAAGAATGAAAGTTATATGTAAAGAAATATAAAGAGAGAAACAGAAAGAGAAGAGAGAAAGAAAAAGAGAGGAATAAAGAGATAGAAAAAGGAAGATAAAAAGAGCAAGATAGTGTGTGTGTGTGTGTGTGTGTGTGTGTGTGTGTGTGTGTGTGTGTGTGTGTGTGTACTAGTAAATTGGTCCCGTACATACGGCTCCAGGGAGATTTTAAAATGAACGTCGATTTAAAATATCGCTTAATTGTTTCTCTTGTCCGTTAGTTTCTTAAAGTGACATGATGAACATTTTCTCTCATAAACTGTCGAACTCATTATAACATAATTACACGGATATAACGAGAATAAGTTTTCCATTATTAGATAAAGCGTCTGAGCCATTTTAAAACAATGGCGTCAGTTTATGCGGACATCTTCCTTTTTCCACTCCATATATTGTAACCATTTTGTTTAAATTTCTTATTTTCTTGATTTCATATGAACTTTCACTGAAATTTTCACTTTACAAAATTATAGTTTATAATTATAGTTTAGAGATAGGAAAGAGACGTCAGTTTGAACTGACACCAGGAGTTAGTGGCTGGCGACTCGTATTTGAGGATACCCGTCTACTAGGGTGGCTAGTTAATCTCTATTGCAGACGTTTACTCAGGCTCATTTTGTGTTTGTTCAACACCCACAGAGCCCACCTGTGGTTCGTACTACAACTATGCTGAGCAGACCTTAGTTACAGTTTCTGGGAGAGAAGCGTGTTATCTATCGTGATAAACAATCTGAACAAGGCCAGCACACTCAAAACCCTCGGTCACGATGACTTCTGATTTCGTGCTAGCACAGCTATTGACGGGTCAACCCGTGTTATGGTTTTCAGGCACTTTCCAAAGGTGCCGCGCGTTGGGATCGACCTCGATCCAGTCCGATAACCTCAGGAAGTCGCCTTTCTGGCAAATCGACGATGGTGAGATTCGAACCTGGGCCCAGAAAGCGAACGCTATAAGCACTCGGCCATGTACCTAATGACGCCAATGACGATGTTTTAAAAAGGTGCTTTTCTTTTTCCCAATATATTGCGGCCATTTTGTTTAAAATACGTATTTTCTTGATTTCAAATGAAAAGTTCCCAAGTTATTTCAGTAAAATTCTTCCTTTCCAAAAAATAGTTTATAATCAGTTTAGATATATGGAGAAAAAAGTGTCAGCTGAAGCCGACATGAAGTAGGATTAGGGGTAAATAAATTCAAAATAATTATTTTTATAAATTTTTCAGTCATGTATTCGTTGTATTTGTCAGCATATAAGATAAACTTTTTTTTTCTAAAAAGATGATTAGCAAATCGCTAGTCCTTCTGAGGCTTCCTTACATTACCAACGCTCACTACCGTAAGCAATAGGGGTTACTTCTACCGAGACCGACTTCATAATAATATCATTTACTTCAACCATATTTTTATTATTATTACTATTTTTGATTATTATTTATTACTATTTTTGATTTGTATTTATTTTAGCGATTTTTCAAATAAGTATAGATAGATGTTTTTGGTTTGTATGGGGCAACCAGTGAGGATCGAACTTACTACTCAGTCGTAGTTGTTTTAGCGAGACAAGCTTGCTAACCATTACACTACCTCGAAGCACCCACAATGATTTTCCAAGCGTAGCTTAGATGTAGCATAACGCCGAAAGTAGGGGGCACCCAGTGAGAATCGAACTCACTACACAGTGGTAATTGTTCTAGCGAGACAAGCTTGTTAACCATTACACCGCCTCGAGGTGCCCTAATTTGTATTTATTTTATAATCGCACACCGGGTCATAACCAATGATCCAGTGTAAGCGAAGGATGTGATTTTTTGTTGTTTCTACTTAATTAAATAAAAGACAGCTATTAACAATAAATAAATAAATAAAAAAAAAGAATTAAAAAATTAAAAATTAAAAAAAAATAAAATAAAAAATAAATGGACAAAGCTTTCCGCAGGATATGGGCTGTTTTTGTTAAAACCAATTTTTGGGGGGCGGGGGGGATTTCCTGGAGAGATTACACATCAGGGATTTTGTTGATTTGTTGTTGGGTTCCTTTCTTTCTCAAACGTAAATCTCCAACTACAACAGGAGTAATTTTAGTTTTTAAGTGCCACATTTATTATATCTCAATCTCCAGGTTTTTGTATTTGTTTTGTTTTTCAAAAGCCTTTGCAGAGATGTTTTTATCACTTGGTACGTTCATGTCAATCAGTATGAATTTTTGTTTCTTTTCTGTCTTTGATAATAGTGTCTGGGCGATTTGCTAATAATGTTCGATCCGTGTTGATAGAAAAATCCCAAAAGATAGTAACATCTGCTCCCTCAAATACAGATTCAGGATGATGTTCATACCAATTTGAAGCTGTTTTTATCCCGTAGTGATGACAGATCTTCCAATGCAGATACTGACCTACCCTGTCATGATAGTTTTTATATTCTTGGGGTCTGAGTATTAAGGTGATCAATAGTTTCACATTATTATTATTATTATTATTATTTCCTTTAATTTCTGATGTGTAATCATTTCTTTCCGGGTACGGACCAGAGACTTAAGGTCAGAAATGGCATCATGACATTTTCCACTGATCATGTCTTGTATAGCATCAGGGCAATTATTATTATTATTATTATTATTATTATTATTTCCTTTAATTTCTGATGAGTAATCATTTCTTTCCGGGTACGGACCAGAGACCTAAGGTCAGAAATGGCATCATGACATTTTCCACTGAGCAATTTTGAAAAAAAAATTACACATATTTTACATAGTTAAAGTCCTTCTGTACTTGTGAGAACATTTTTTTTTATTTCTTTAAGGCATGGGCTACAAGGAATCCCTTCAATGAGTCCATTGGAATCTTTTCCTACCAAAACGGGGGTTTCAACTACATCTAGAACTGTGATATTCTCACGTATCACATTTTTGAGATTTCGATTTCAAGGTCTTTGTACTTGAATAGTTTTATCAAGTCCTTCAAAAATACATTACAGTCTGCAGGGACTGCCATGTCAATAAGAAGACATATTCTGTTTTTGGGGTCTCTGATCACGATGCTTGGGCGATTAGCTTTGATTGTTCTGTTTGTGTGTATAGTAAAGTCCCATATAATAATAATACTAATAATAATAATAATAATAATAGTAGTAGTAGTAGTAGTAGTAGTAGTAGTAGTAGTAGTAGTAGTTGTTATTGTTGTTCTTCTTCTTCTCTTTGATTTATGTTGTATACGCGTTTCCTTCCGGGTCCCAACCAGGAACCTAAGGTTAGAATGGCTTCATTTTTGTAAATAAATAAATAAAAGATCATACACATTTTACATAGATAAAGCTCTTCGCAATGTGTGAGATGTACCTGCAAGTACCATTTTTTTCTTTAAGTCATGGGTTACCAGGAATCCCTTCAATGAGTGGAATATTTTCCAATCAATCCGAGTGATCCAACTACAACTGGAATTATAGATGTTCTCATGTACCACATTTTTAATAAAATTACCGAATGTCGCTTTCTTACTGTTCAGACGAACCAATCAAAGCAGTGACTTTTGTGTACTTACCATAAAATAAATGTCATAAAATCTGTCGTAGCTGAGGAAAATTCCAGACAGATTTTTTTTAGCTAACAGGCAACATCAGAACTTTCTCACACTTCTCGCTTGTGGCACATCTTCCTGGCTCCATACTTTCCAGTAAACTTTAATCTTCAAAGATTTAAATGCAATGTCAATCGTTATCTACCGTTTTTCTGATTACCCTTCTTTTGTTCTCGTTCCTTAGTAATGTTTCTCTTTTCTAATTCTTCCGCACCCAGTAACGTCTTGTGCCTTAGCGGCTTTACTCCCTTGCTTGTGGTGAACTAGATTAAAAAAATAGATCCGAAGATGCAACTCGAATATTCTTCACCATATTGATACGCAGCAATAGTTAATTGGGTGTGTGAGAAATTAAGTAAATAACTGTTGCAAAAGTATTTGTTACATCCGTTGTCAGCCTTGACATGAAAATATATGCACTACAGTTCAAAAGTTTGAAGCTAACCCCAGAATTAGCATGGGATAAACTTGACAGAAGGGTGAAACCTTTCCATTCAAAAAATGAAAAAGTTCTCTTTTAGAGTCATTGAAAAAAGAATGTAATCAATTATCAAACTTATCCTTTGAGAAACCTTTGCAATGAATGCCAAACTTTTGTGCTGCAGTAATCAAGGAGGATATTTTGATGAGAGCAAAATTTAATCATAGTTTTCTTTTGTTATAATAAAATTTCTAATAAAAAAAAATCATGTCTCACTCTTTTTTAAACGTATAATAATTTTCTCTTATTTAAAGTACAAAACAACTATTTTGGGGGGCAATTTAAAAAAATACCAGGAATGGCCGCAATCCTTTGAACTATAGTGCATATCTATATATTATATATATATATATATATGGTGGACTCTCTGGCCGAAAAGAAAGCACTTGTACGAATACAAGGAAAATGAAATAAAAAGATTAATCGCAGTACCTTGTTAGTTGTCTTTAAGGAAAA